GGAGCCAGGATTCAAAACCAGATATATCTGACTCCCAAGTCAGAAGCCTTAACTACTATGACTATTTTACTTCCAACTTCCTCTACAATTCCTGCTGTAATTACTCTAGCTCAGATAGTCTCTACCTTCCTTGCATAGAAGGATTATTTTATGTAATTGACATAAAAATAAATGAACTCCCCAGTACTACTGCAGTCTGGTGACTGACACATAGAAAGCTCCCTAAAGTTCTGCTAAATTAGATGTATCTTCTCTCCTCTACTAAAGTATGATGTCCTTGAAAGAAAAAAAAAGTTTAGTAAAACCTGGTATCCACATAAAATTGGATTCAGTTCCTTGATCACAGCAAGTGTTCAGTAAATGCTTATTTGAAATGTATCTACTTGTCTTCATGTCTTTCTCTCCATCCCTCCCCACAACCCCAGACTGTGAGTCACTAACAAGCAGGGACAAAGGCCAGGTGCAGTGGCTCATGCCTGTAATCCCAGCACTTTGGGAGGTTGAGGCGGGCAGATCACAAGGTCAGGAGTTCGAGACCAGCCTGGACAATATGGTGAAACCCGTTTCTACTAAAAATACAGAAATGAGCCAGGCATGCTGGCATGTGCCTGTAGTCTCAGCTACTTAGGCTGAGGCAGAAGAATCGCTTGAACCCGGGAGGTAGAGATTGCAGTGAGCCAAGATTACGCCACTGCACTCCAGCCTGGTGACAGAGTGAGACTCCCTCTCAAAAAAAAAGCAGGGACAGAGGGCTGGATGCCTGGGTTCCAGTAACCTTATTGCTCCAGTCCCTCCCACCCCTCAACACACACACAACCCTATACAGTGGGGCTTCTACAAACGTTACAATGAACAAATGAATGAGTGCATGACATATATGGATGAAAATGAAATGAACAGTGATCCAGGTTTATAATCACTTTCTTCATTCAAACAAGTGAAAATTAATACAACTAAAAAAAACTAAGTTCCATCATTGAGCCTGCTGGCCTACCCCTAAAGGAAGGCAACATGACACCTTTCAGTAGAGAAACAAAAAACAATGAGTTTCCTGTTGGAGAAAAAAAAATTGCAAAGGGAAGAAGACATGAGTGGAAAGAGTTTTTAGCTAACTAATGAAAAGGATGCAATTCATGAGCTATCTGCTGTGACACTTTTTGTCACTCTCTCTCTGTGGATCCTGGGGTCAGTGCAGAAGGCATAGAATAGAGGAGGAGGAAGAGAATTAATGTTTACTGCATGCCAGGCACTCTGCTAAGTAAGAGCTTGGCTTTTACTTCCACTTACATATTTTCATAATAAAACCCGAAACAGCTAGAACAGGAAGTAGGAACAAGAAGTAGTATAACATTTTCCTGGCTCTCAGAAAGCCATTTTAAGAAATAATTATGGAGATGTAGCAACTAATTCTACCTTACTAATATTCTAGATGGGAAGTCCCACAGATACTAATACTGGATTGTTAGTGGACGAATTCAAGGAGCAATATTATTGCCTGTCCACATCTTGCAAATAAAGTTCCCTTTCTTTCATTTACCGCTAGCCATTGGTTTCTTCTGGTTTTTCAACATCCTACGACACTTTATTTTAGAAAGAAATCACTGTAGCAAGCTATTATGCTCTTTCTTTTCCAGGAACAAGTGGGTATAATAAATTGTAGCAGTGATGAAAGTGGAAAGTGACAGTGGAGAAAAATTAATATCTTTGTGCTTTTCATCCTCAAAATTCTTTAAATAAAATTTAATTTTCCGTCTATTGCCCTTTAAGCACATTAAGTTAGAGAGAGAAAATGTATTCAGCTTTTCCAATTTCTCTGTTGTATTAGAGGGTCTCTTTTCATTCATATAGTCTACAGAAATGGCATTTCTTGGTGTGTGGGGCCAAGGAAGAAGGGAGAACCTCAGAAGTATATTGGCATGTTGAGAAAACTAATATTCCTATGACTAATGAGCATATTTTTCCTAGTCTGGTTCACAAACTTTTTCCATTATTCTGGTAATTGTCAAAGAGACTTAATTCAAAAGCACTCACATTCTCCACTTCTCAGAATTCTACCTCCCCCACTCCAGCAGGAACATCATGATGGTGTGAGATCATATGGTCACAGAGGTCTTCGGTTTTGATACTGCTGAGAATGGTGGCTCATGTCTTTTACTGCTTTAAACACAGAGTTATGGTTCACTCCAAGCACGTATTTAACTAATATGCTCCATAGAGGAGACGATTCTGTTCAAATTAAAGTCCCTTCCTCATCCTCAACTACTTCCCACCTCTGCCCACAAACATCTACACACAGAAAATGTTTTGGAATAAATGATACTAAACATCATTCAGTGCTACACAACTATATGTTTATAATACAGAAAATTCTTACGATTAGAGTGGATTTTGCAAAACAATGTGAAATTCTTTTGTTCCTTCTTCAAAGGAACAACTGAATTTCAAAAGAAAAATCACAAGAAGGAATGCATGGGTTCCTGAAATGCCTTCCAGAGAGTTCTATTCTCGGAAGCCAGGGTGTTTGTGAGGTCCTTCCAGACGCTGAGGAAAGGCTGGGCCAGCCCCCTTCACCACCACCACTTCAGCCTGAGCCCCTGACTTCTACTTTGTCTGTCTTCTACAGGAGGCTTCTGTTAGTAAGATGTCTCTGGGATAAATTGCCAATTTCTACTTTAAATTACTAGTTTCACAGATGAAGACATTATATATACCATAGTTTACCAATCAAAAAACTAAAAAACTACGGTGTGCCAACTAATATGAGTAAACACTGTGAGATACAACAACTAAATAAAAACCAATGTAACCATTGTTTTTGCTTGCCATTTTTTTTTCAAGAATGGTATTGGTTTCAAAACACGTGTGCATATCCTTGGATGTTCCTCCCTTTAAAAAGTGAGATCCTCTCCCCTTAGACCCACCTTAGTGACTCTTCTCTAATACACAGAGTGTGTGGGAAGCTATGCTATGTGATTTCAAAGGCTAGGTCAGAGAAAAGGGATGCCACATGACTGTCTTTGTCTCAAACTTTCACTCTAGGGGAGCCCAGATGCCATGCTAGAAGGACACTCAAGCATTCCTAAGAGACATCCACAGCCATCAGCAGCTTGCCAATCACAGGAGCACACTACCTTGGAGCAAGTCCTCCAGCCCCTGTCCAGCCTTCAAATGACTGCAGCCCCAGCTGACATCTGACCACCACTTCATGAGGGACCGTTGGCCAGAGCCACCTGTCTAAGCTGCTCCAGGGCTCCTCACCCACTAAAATTATGAAAGAATAAATGATTCTTCTTGGGTCAAGCCACTAAGTTTTGTGGTGATTTGTTAAACAATAATAAGTCACTAATATTATATATATATATATATATATATATATATATATATATTTGTATTTTAACTGCTTCACAACATTTAGGCTCGAGATTCTTAACACTTGCTCTGTCTGAAATCCCCCTCTTCTCCCTTCCCCTTGCACACAAGACTTTACTAATCTCTCCAGGAATCTTTCCTTCCCTCTTCCGAAGCCCACGGCCCTTTTTCTGAGCCTAGCTTTCCCCTTGGTCCTTTGTATTGTGGTTATTTGTGTGCCTATCTCATCTCCCTGACCAGATTGAAAGACCAGGAAGGCTGCATTTCTAAAAGGAAGTTTTGTTCAACTTCGAAACCACACAAAATACCTTGCACACAGAGGGCATTTGGTTGATTTACTGACCCAAAGAGGAAAATATCAGTTGGTGCAACGTGGCAAGCAGGACAATCACCACGTGAACCAAGTTGTCTGAAGATATTTTTCACTTCCGAGAAGAAATCCCCTTAGCCAGAAATGAGCAACCATGTAACACGCAAAGTATGCCCTTAGCTTTCTTTTTCTTGCTGTCTAAAGTTCCAGCCTGTCATTCCAGAAAACATCCTTTGGCACCTTTTTTGGAGGGGGGGAGGAGACAGAGTCTTGCTCTGTCACCCAGGCTGGAGTGCAGTGACATGATCTTGGCTCACTGCAATATCTGCCTCCTGGGTTCAAGCGATTCTTGTGCCTCAGCCTCCAGAGTAGGGAGTATTACAGCCACGCGCCACCATGTCTGGCTAATTTTTGTATTTGAGTAGAGACAGGGTTTCGCCATGTTGCCTAGTCTGGTCTGGAACTCCAGGTCTCAAGTGATCTGCCCTCCTCAGCCTCCCAGAGTGTTAGGATTACAGATGTGAGCCACCACACCAGGCCTCTTCAGTATGCGGAGAACTGAAGAAAACTGTGAAGTAGCAAAGTGAAAAAGTATATGACAGAAGTCCATTTACCTCCACTTTAATATCAAAATAATGATATTTAAACATCATTTAATATCAAAATAATATTAAGTATCAATAAGAACCATATAGCAAAGAACCATTATAGAATTCATTTGAATGACTCATTCCATTCATTTTCCACTAAGAAAATGAGAAAACATTCTTTGATGTTAGCAGCCAACATCAGTATCTTATCAGGTCTGTGAAATTGGTAATGGGAAACTGAAATATGCTACACAGTGCCTCTTAGTATCCTAGCCGGAAAATCTTTCTATGCTTAGGGACAACTATGGAAATATTCACCAAAAATATCTGAGGTGGGAAACTTTTACACATTACATGTAGACTATTAACACCTACAAGGGGGAGAAGAGAGAGGATGGATAAATTCATTAATTTAAATTACACATATCCAGGTCACTGGCTGTGGTGGATATTTCTTGGGGCACACATACACCAAGTCGCTCTTCTTAAAAATTACCCAATGTTTGTTCTGGCATTCTCTGATTGCCACCCTGCTGGGGAGTTGGGGGAATCTGCCCTGTGGCCAGCTCCAAAGTCCAATCTTGTTTGGCAGAGACAGGAAAAAAAGGAAAACCTAAATGACCTAGAGAGTGGCTAAATCAATCGAATTCTATAGCACACCATACCTCTGATCTTTTCAATTATGTAAGCTTTTATTGTTTAAACCAGTCGGCATTCAATTTTCTGTTCCTTACCATCCAGGTCATCCTACCTGCTGCACTGGAAAAATCTACCACACATCCCTGGGTGCATTACAATGAACCTTTCCCTGTGGGAATAAGTAAATAAGTAAACGCTGGTTGGAAACATTGCAAAAACACTAATACTCCTTTCTTGTTTCTCCTGTAAACTGCAGTGCTTATAGCACGTATTTAAAAACTTGAGAACTACCTGAAGCCAAACAAGCTCTTTAACTTTTAAGCCAGTTATCTAAGTTGATTTGACCTTGGTATTACTAATTACACAAAACCACATAATATCCTACTTTCTAACATACATGCTTTGGGGCCACAGTATTTATCTTCATGGTAAGTCAGCTGATTCTTGGTTATCTGCATACAAAGCCTGTTATTTTATTTTATTTTATTTTATTTATTTTGAGATGAAGTCTCCCTCTCTCACCCAGGCTGGAGGGCCGTGGCACAATCTCAGCTCACTGCAACCTCCACCTCCCAGGTTCAAGCAATCCTCCTGCCTCAGCCTCCTGAGTAGCTGGGATTACAGGCATGTGCTACCATGCCTGGCTAATTTTTGTATTTTTAATAGAGATGGGGTTTCACCATGTTGGTCAGGCTGGTCTCAAACTCCTGATCTCGTGATCTGCCCGCTTTGGCCTCCCAAAGTGCTGGGATTACAAGCGTGAACCACTGTGCCCAGACTCAAAGCCTGTTAATTTTTAAATCCACACTAATTTCTCTTGCAATATGGAGCCCTGTTGGGATATCTCCCATTGCTTTTAGCTACTGCCTGAGCAAATTAGCATGCATGTACTCCTGAACAAAAGAGATTGTGCAAAGCGAATCTGTGGCCCCAAAAGTTCTGTTACGTGAAAATACAGAAGTCTTTGGAATCACTGAAAAGTTCTGGGCTATATGTGCGTTTCTGTCCTCAAATGCAAAGATGTTCCTATATATTCAATATCAAGAATGTAGGGCTTCAGAGCATAGTTCCAGAGTCAGAGACTATGTGAGTTCAGCGCTTGGCTCCCCGACTTGTAAATGTGTCCACGTGGCAAGTTTATTTTCCCAGTCTCAGGTCCTGATTATAAAATGTGAGCTATGATAGATGGGACGCAAAGTCTAATGTGGACATAAAAATAAAATGATTGTAACAATAATTCATCTAAAGCAGGCAGCACAGGGCCTGGCACATAATATGTACAAAAGATGTTCCTTGTTGTGATTGAAATACCTGCAATTGATGCTGAAAAGGAAAATAATGCATGAAAAAAGTGTATCTTCCCAAAGATACATCAAGGCTTCAGGGAAAATAAACATGAATTAAAGTAATAATAACTTTCAATATAAAATGAGTGAATCCAACTTAAAGTTAAACATTAATTCTTGATTATTTGCTTTGGGAAGAGGAAAGAACAGAGTACATTAAAAATAAATAATACCCCAACAACTCATAAACCCAATAACTACAGCACAGCTTCAACATGTCTTAGAACAAAATTCCCAAAACGTCAAGAGACCTATATACAAATTAAGTTAAAAAAAGATTCCAAAATGAAATCTACGGTTCTCATAACCAGCATTTCAGATTATTGGTGTCATTTAATGAGCATACAAATTCAAAATTGTGTTTTTGGATTTGCAGCTGACCTGTCATAGAAATACATGAACTAACTAGAGATAATTCCTTTATTGGGCTTCCATCTAAAGCTAAGCTTTACTTAGGCTTTCAAATTGTTGCGCTTACTTCCAAAATCAGATATGCCACCAAAACTGTCCACTTTTGTCAACTGCTAGGAAAACTGACAATACGAAGTTCACAAAGATAAAGCAGGGAAAAAAACAGCAGTTTGACTTGAAGTCCACTCTCAGGTTTTAATTTTATGGAAAATATTATATACACATGTATTTTCCAAAGTTACAGAATATGGTTTAGAATCTCAGGAATCCTATTCTCATTGAATAATTAAACTAGGAGTATAAGAAGTTTCACACCATGACAATGCCACTGTTACAACTTAACTGAACCCCAGAAAGGACCCATGGCTACCTCACTCAGAGGAGCAGGCTTGTCCATGCACACACACAGACCATGATATGAATGGTGTCCCTGGAACTAGGCAGTGCATAATCTACATTTCTTAGACCTCCACCCTAAAAGGAGGGCCATATTTGCTTAGAACAGCCCAAGGCCTACATTCTCTGGAATTTTCCCGGGAGAGCTACTTTGCATTTATTTACAATTTGAAAGCCTAAGTAAAGCTTAGCTCTAGATAGAAGCCCAATGAAGAAAGTATCTCTAGTTAGTTCATTTATTTCTGTTATAGGTCAGCTGCAAAGAGTAGCTTAAGAGAATTTAATCAAGCAAATACTTGGAGCAAAATTAGTGCTGACAACAACCTTGTAAGCAAAACTTGTGTGTGCAGGTGAGTCAGAATGTGTTTTGTGGCACTGAAAGAGTTAACCACCTGTCCTATCAACAGTGTTTACTTTTGTGTGTGGCTCATTCACTTCCTCAATTTCTCCAAGAACTAGCTTATGAAATCAAAAGACTGCAAGCTAGGAGCCATAAAAGCTAAACCCCTATGGAGCACTTTCTATGAGCAGGATACTCTGCCAAGCATGGTTTCATTCAATTCTCTCAACAATCCTAGAAGAAGGCACCACTTTACAGCCAGGAAAATAGGCACAGAAGTTTTGCCGGTGGTCACACCGCTGAAGAGGGGATAGAAAGACTGGACCAGAGGCAGCTGTTATGCGTTGAAAGATGTCCTCAGAGAAAGACATGCTGAAGTCCTATCCTGCTGTGAATGTGACCTTATTTGGAAATAGTGTCTCTGGAGATATAATCAAATTAAAACAAGGTCATTTGGGCAGGTGCTAACCCCCTAGGACTGGTGTCTTTATAAAAAGAGGAAGATGTCATGCAAAGACAGACACACAAGGAGAAGGCGGCCATCTGAAGGTGGAGGCACAGCTTGGAGTGACGCTGTACAAGCCAAGGACTGCCTGGGGCCACCAGCAGCTGGAAGAGGCAAGGAAAGATCCTTCCTTGGAAACTTCAGGCCAACTCCTTGATTTTGGACTGCTAACTTCCAGAACTGTGAGAGAACAAAAAATCTGCATGGTTGTAAGCCACCCAGTTCATCGTGAGATGTTAAAGCAACCCCAGGAAAACGCAGCATTGCAGGCTCGCCCCAGCCACTCTTTCCTGCCTCTGTTTTCTTTCCACTTGCCCGGACCTATCTGCTAAGAGACAGAAACTAAAACTTTCATCCCACGTTCCTTTTCTGGACTTGAGATTGCTTACGGGTAGAAAGTGCAGCACATTTTGAACTGTCTTTAACAGTGGGTTTTTTAAAATTGATTTTCACATTAGAGCATTCTACCCCTAAGCATTTTCTAGATCAGTTCAGGCATCTCCGCTCCCCGCACCTCCAGCTGACGGCAGCCTGCAGCACCACAGTACTCCAAGCAGTTAGCAACTTCAAAACATCGTCTTTTCAAAGTGCAGTATCTGGTGGCCTGACCCGGTACATTGCAATAAGGTAGGGCCCGTAGGGAGATTCCAGAATCTGGAATTGGATCTGCCCAGGCCCTAAGGGTCAGCAAGGCCTCCGGCAAGGAGAGAGAGCTTGAGGAGCTGCAAGAAAGTGTGCTGCACCAATGGAACTCTGTATCTAGTGAATAGCAACGCGGTGCATACGTCAGAGTCAGCTCAGGTAACCTGGCCAGCATCTGCCAGTCAGATGCTGACCTGCAGGAGTCTCAGGCAGGGCCAAGTGTGGAGATGAATAGTCCAGAAGCACACAGGTGCAGACAGGCAGAATCAAAGAAGTCATCGTGAAGGTACTATAAGGGGGTGTCTGTCACCAGGTTAAGCATAGGAGGCAAACTGCAGCTTCTCCAGTAAACGGGCAGTGAAGCAGGAGGCGGATGGTAAGAGTCAAGTCCCCAGCCCTCAGGGTGCTGCAGAAGCTAGGATTTGGGTGCTTGCAACAAGACTAAGCAGGTACAGAACACGAGTTGAGGGAAGAAGAGCACCCAGCATGACTGGGATCTCTCCAGTGTTGAGTCCCAGGGTCCTAGAGACTCCCCCAACAACCCCACCCTTACCCCTCAGGGCTGAGCCTTCAGAGGAGCATGCAGGCAGGGAGAAGAGACAGCTGCTCGGGAAGTAGGCGGGCTCTGACCCAATGTGGACTTCTAAATGCCTTAGCTGAAATGCAGGAAGCATTTTCTGGTAGAACAATGCTAGATTTCCAAGCTTGGAGAAAACCCAAAATAATACTCTTTGTATTTATAATTAAAAATATTTGTATTTAAATTTGTAATTTGTAATTAAAAATCTAAACAGAAAACTATGCTAATTGAGAAGAGATTAGTATGTTTTACCTTTGTTAGAGTACTTAGTGAACAGCAGGATTAATTAGGGGAACAGGAGGAAGAAGATGGAGATGCTATCTGGAAATGTCAATATATTCATGGGTTGTTTGTAGTTGGATGGGTTTGTTTTTTTTTTTTAATCTCCTTTCCATTAAAAATGTATGCTTTTTTTTTTCTTTGTTGTTCTCTCAGGGTTGTGGTAAAATTAGATATGATAATGTGTGATAGCACTTTGGAAACAGTAAAATGTGAGGGCAAATGAAAACTGCAATATTGCCATTTACATGAAGGGGTCAGAACTATCATTATTTAAATAATTGTGTACAATTTGCTAGATGCAGCAAAGTATACAATGAGGCCTCCTGGTGCTTACCAAGGCTGTCTTCTTATACTGACTGAAGCAGAGAAAGAGGAAGCGGAGTAAACCTATACCATGTGCACCGCAGCCCAGGTCCTGTGTGTGCCTGGTCTGTATTGTAAATGCAGGGAAATGAAGTTGAAGACGAAAGTCCTATAAAGATGAATAAAGTCTGGTCACATGTGTATCATCCAGAGGCAACCAGTGATAACATTTTCATATCATTTATTTCAGTCTATTTTAGTTTACTTATTTTTACATAACTGAGTTCACACTATTTCACATCATACTGTTTTCACTTACATGCATTTTTCCTTGCACAAAACATCTTATCATCATTTGTAATTGCTGTAATATTCCATTGCACGGAAATAGAATTCAACCATTCATCTGTCAGTGGAGAATGAGAATGTTTTCATGATGGATAGATACCTAATACAAATCACTGGGGGCTCTCAGAGGCTGAGAGGTAAGACCCCCTGAGTCAATGCACAGGACGAGTCCTGTGCTCTCCTCACTGAGAGCCAAACTGCCTCCCAGCAAGGGTACAGCGCTGTGTGCTCCAAGGGCGATGTGAGAATAGCTGCCCTGGCACACTTCAGCAGCACAAAGTGCTCCATGGGGGCACCTAGCAAAGATAGTTTTATTAGGTTGTAAGAAGGGGAAAAAAACATTTATATTTGGACATTAGGAACAGAGATATATTACCATGAAGCTAAGAGACCTTAATCTTCAGAGACTTTCACTTGACTGAGCCCTGCCCATTCTCATTCTAAATAAACATTCACTTTTGCACTTAATTTTGTGTGATTTTCATAAAGTAGGCCCTGCCTAACCTGGATCCATCACTGTCTAGGAAGAACATACGAGGCTGTGTTCAATAAACCATTGACACTTTCCATAAGCACAGGGCTAAAATACATTGCCTGGCCTTCCCTGCATATGCCACAGCTGGGATTAGGTTCTGGCTAAAGGAAAGTGGCATGCTGGCTAGACGGTGATGCCCTGGGTAACTCCACTGACCATTTTGTTAGAGTACTTGGTGACAGCAGAATTAATTAGGGGAATTAGGACAATGAATTTTGAAGTGATCAAAAACTACACTCTTATTGCATTGTCACTGATATTTGGGAGTCATTTATAACACTTTTAGCATTAACTGCAGTGACTAAAGCAAAGCCTTCCAAAACTTAGCCACATATGACCTGTCCATCCTGCTGGCTGTTTTCAGATGCCTGTATCACAACTGCCTTACTAATTTGGCATCTTTCATTCTTACTTCCAACCCAAGCAAGCAAACTGATTTTTACCAGGTATGCACATTTGGATCTGATGTCCTCAGACTTCATTGCTGGAAACCTGCTTCTGCCACGCAGTATGCAAAAGTGAAGCCCAGAACCCTAAGCCACATCTTCCTCTTAAAAGCACACTCTGAGCAGCACAGGCTGAGCTCTTCCTAACGAGGAGATGGAGCAAGTGGCAGAGTTAAACAGTTTCCACCAAACACTTTAGAATCCTGAGTTTCTGCAAAGGAGCACAGATGTTCATATCTCTGACAACAGCCAGAAGCCTCTGCCAGCACATCAGCCCATTTCAAGAGAAAAATAGACACAAATACTAAGTAGATGCCAAGTTTCCTCTCAAATAGCTTTTCCCCATTTTCTTATTTCATCCAGCTTGACGTTCTTTCGACCTTGCCCACCACATATTTTCTGATCTCCTAGTGCTCACCCATTTTGCAGTGATCAGACAGAAGGCCTCAAAATTGCTTGCACCCTTCAGAAATACATTCTGCTCTATTTCCAACGACTGCTTCAAGCACCTTATCAAAATATCACAAGTTCCTTTGGGCCACAATTAATGCTCTCACCCCAGATGCTATAAATCTTTCCCTGTGAGGATAGTCCTCATGATATCAAAGCTAAGAACAGTCAAGGCTGGAGATTCTCAACTATAATCAAAACTTCTAAATGCCAGGCTGTTTTGAAGCCAGCACATCAATTCATTCCTGGATTCTTAGGGGCTGAATATGCAGCAAAAGGATGAAGCTGCAAAAGGCAGGGTGGAAAATTAAAGGGGTTATCAAAACAAAATTGCAATGGATTTCTGAATATTCTTCCAACAGACAGGGATAAAAACAGCCATGCATTATACACTTCAGCCGAAGAGGGCTGGCCAGAAGGGCTAACCATTTTCAGTAGCCAAAGCTAGCCTCTCCGCTTGGAGTTTACAATACAGTGGGACGTAACTAAAAGGAGCTGGAGTCAAAAGTGAAGGGCAGTGGTGTTCTGACCTGAGCAGGACCAGGAAGCCAACCTATCCTCCCAAAATGTAGACAAGGGTTGCCTCTGTCCCCATACAAAAGATGACCTTTGTAAGAATGCAGTTCCCAAGCCAATGGCATTGTGCAACTGAGATATTTGTGGTCTCGTCTGACTGGTTAGCTCTAATGCCTAGAACATCTGGCTAACAAGATTAAAGCCTATCCCAGGATAAGAAAATTAGCTTTCCTCTATTTTAACACCATGGATTCATCCTTATCCCAATTTGAAACAACTACACAAAGCAGGCAAACAATATTTATTGATTACCCATTATATGCATAGCATCGAGGAATAAATTCAATGGGGAAATGAGCCTGCATTATTCATCAAAGTCTTTTCCAGCCCTGGAAGCATCTTATTTCTGTAATAAGTTTACAGAAAGAATTTACATTTCTCTGGCCAAGAGGTTGGAGTTATTGGCTTAATTCATCAGCCTTCCCACCACCCCCCAAAAAAATCTGTGCTTTGCTTTGGCCTAAGGGACCTGGTACAAGTCACAACACATCAGCAACATTAATAGAGAAGCTTGTGTGGTTTTCCTGCTTCTCTTAGAGGATTCAGCTGTTCGCAGGAACATACAAGGCTTTAAGGGAATTTTGTTTAGTCATGAAGCAAATGGCTTTCGTAATTTTAAATGTTTCAATGGATGGATTTTAAAACACTTAAACAGGTCTACAAGTAGACAGATGAAACAGGCAACACCTGCCTTCCTATTTAGAAAAGAAAAGGTTTTAAAATTCATTTACTGACTGTGTAAACTCCAAAATGTTTTCTAATAATGATGCACTACAAGGCTTATTTGGAAATTTAAAACTCAGACAAGCATGATGCCACACTAAATGAAGTCTGAAGATACCACCAAAGAGCATTTCAGACTCTCTGGGCTTCATGGAAATCATTTAGATATTTTTCTACCTATAGTTCATAATAAAAACTACCATTTCTTGGCCACATCCCATGAGCCAAGCCTGTTAAGTCTGCACAGCAAAGTCTAGAGGTCTGTATTGTTACCCCCATTTTACAGATGGGGAATTGAGATTCAAAAGCATTACGTAACTTGTTTACATTTTCATATCTGGTAAACCAAGAAAATGGGATTCAGGCCCCACGCCTTCAGGCTCCAGATGCCATGTTCTTATTGAGGCACCAATGTCTTCTGTGTTACAGGTTATCTCCCCAAAATATATAAGGAAAAACACGGCACCATTTCCCTTCAGTAACATATGTCATAATTTCATCAGACACTCCTCTTACAACCTACAGTAAACTACACATATGATTAAGGCTGTGTCTCTTTACCTAATGTCTAAAGGTACTTCTGAGGCTAAATAAAACCCACAGTTGGCCAGGTGCAGTGGCTCACATGCACAATCCCAGCACTTTGGGAGGCCGAGGCGGGCGGATCACCTGAGGTCAGGAGTTTGAGACCAGCCTGGCCAACATGGTAAAACCCCAACTCTATTAAAAATACGAAAATTAGCTGGGTGCAGTGGCAGATGCCATAATCCCAGCTACCCAGGAGGCTGAGGCCAGATAATCACTTGAACCCGGGGAGGCAGAGGTTGCAGCGAACCCAGATCCTGCCACCACACTCCAGCCTGGATGACAAAGACAGACACAGTTTTCTACTGTGAGTTTCATTTTTGAAACATCGATTCCTATTTTTTTAATATATGCATTTGTTTGTCCCTTTTCTACCAACTGTTTATTTCACTCTACATGGCTTTATGGATCACACCAAAATCAATTTCTTTTCAGGAAAATACTGCTTGGGAAAACTTAGGTTTCCACAAGAAACCTAGCAAAGAATTTGACAGATAGTGTCCGATTCATTACTCTTTCTCTTTTTTAAAAAAAAAATTCCCCTCTACCAGAGAAGCTGCATTTCTAATCACTAAAATACCCATCTCTGAAAGTGATGATACCCATCCCTTAAACTAAATGATCTGCTCTGGAT